TTACACCAAAATAACACATTCTTACTTACCATTCTTACTACAGTCACCATAATACCCAAGAGTCTCTATAAATACCTAACTTGTTTTCTTATGTACAATTTGCCAGTGTTGGGTGGGGAATAAAAATAAAAATTAAAAAAGAGGAGAGCTCATTAAAATCATTCACATGAAAATATTTACAGAAAAGTCAGAGGCAAGCCACTTCACGGCGATGAGAAAGTAACTGAAGTCTAGATATCAGATCAGGACCGATAATATTACAGACCCTTTGGATGCTTCGAGAATCTCAAGATATGGAGCACCAGACCAGATATGGCAGCAATATTTAATGCATGTCGAAGGATGTAAATGTGCAAGATGGATGATGACGTGACAAATGTCTTTCTTAGAAACATACCAAGCATTTGATTCAATATAATCACTCCTCTTCATGTCAATGTCATGAAGCCGTTTCTGACTTTAGGTCTCTGATTGGCACCCTGAAGAACATATATATATATATATATATATATATATATATATATATATATATATATATATATAACAGAAACCAAAACAAACAACAACAACAACAACAATAATAATAATAATAATAATGATAACGAGAAATCTGCCATAGCAACAAACTCTTACACAAATAATCAAGGTTTGGGTCCACACATCCGGGATAATGATGACCCTACGAATTTTCCAACTAGATCCATAACAATTAATTTAAGGAAAACAAAGGGAAAATTCAGTATCTGTCTATATTTCTGAGATGAGGTATTATGCACACTATTTACATTATTCGGACTATTGTCCTCATTTTTGTTGTTATATTTATCACAACGGTTTGACTCTTCAATATCTGTCTTTATTTCTGAGATGAGGTATTATGTACACAGTTTGCACTATTCGGACTATTGTCCGCATCTTTGTTGCCATATTTATTACAACGTTTCGGCCGTTGTACGCTCCGGTCTTCTTCAGGTGGTTGGAGTGCCAGAGAAAAGCTATAATAACAACAACAATTGCAATGTAAGCTCTGGTAAAAATATACAATGATAACAGTAAAAAATTGCTATATGAGCACTGGTAAAAAAAAGGTGGCTGAAGTTATTAAGTTTATAATACCCATAAATACATACACATATGTCCACAAGGACACATGACAAGGGGTTGGTTAGATCCAGTGACAGGACCCAAACAGTGTGAGTTCAATACCCGGTGGGGAATTTACATGAGATAACTGATAACTGACAACCATTACTGACATCCATTAAACATGGCACGTGGAACTAGAACTGTGAGCGAAATAAAGGGTTGAGTTCAATAATCCAACCATCTGAAGAAGGCCGGAGTTTGCAACGGCCGAAATGTTGTAATAAATATGGCGACAAAGATGAGGGCAATAGTCCGAACAATGTAAAGGGAAAACTGTCTCGTGAGAGTACAAGCATTCTATGAAGCGTTTCAGAAAAACGTCCCTCGCCAAACATAGGAAATTTAGACAAGTAATAAACAACGCATTATATCATGAGAAATAACCGATTGACGGATTCTGCAATTAATGGAATAAAAATAAACTGCAACCAGCATAGATTAATCGATATAACATGAAAGGGAACCAGAAATGAAGATAAAACACTAACAGCACAGTAATCATAATGAAGAAACAACAATTAATGTGAAAATAATGCTGGAAGTTTAGAAGAGTTAGAAAGGTTTGATTTAGCTGCAATAAAACGAGTCTAAAACACTGAACCGAGTTACTTTACGGGAAACAAGAAGAGTAGACAAGGAAAAATCAAGGGGGAATAAGTCAGACACAAAATGGAGGACGAGAAAATGTCACCAAATTATAACCACCAAAGCATAACCTTAAATCCATTAAACTTTTCAATGCAGCACTCAAATTAATTCTGGAGTCGTGACGCATATTTGTCACAACGAGGCGATATATGCAACAGCATGGCAGTAACTAAAAAATTAAACATCAAAGTAAAAAAAAAGCCAATCACACAGAGAATCTATCTTGGAAAAGAGAAATAGAGAAAGAAATTGAACTGGAATGATTTTAAATTTAATCGCACCAAAGCTCAAAAAATAAAATAAAATAAAAAATGAAAAAAAAATCATTTATTCTAAGAAACATTTTTTGTCTGCCATCAGCATGGTTGATAATCCTTCTTAGACTCAAATTTCCCACTGACATGCAATGAAATAATTATATTGAATCAAGTGCCAGGTCTACTGGTAGGAAAGTTGCTTCACTATTTTGTGTCAGAGAATTCTTTGCCTCAGAATCCTTTTTGGACATTTATAAATATACTATTCTTCCGTCTTCTGATTATCCTACTACATATATCGAGATTCTTGATAAAATTCAAATAGTATAAGGTAATCGATCCTAAATCGGCGTCTCGATGACGGCCATTTTCACACCAACGTTTCGTGCTTTCACCGTGTTCTTTCCACAAATATTTTCATGTCAGTTGTTCTAATGAGACGTCAATCT